TCTGCTTCGCTGAAAGGTAAGGAATTTAATTGCCTTCTTTCGTTTCTTTCGCCTTATATTAGTGTGCAAACTTTTTTCTTTTTCTTTGGTCCTTCAACTGCCCCCTCGCCTTATAATCGTGACCGCCTTATATTCGAATAAATACGGTAATTCCCTTGGTCCGATTCTGCTTGCGATTTTCATTATCGACGTCGACCATCTGAGCTACGGTTCACGCTTTTGCAGCCCGAGCGGCGTCGCGACTGAAAATTTTGTGCGAAATCTCATCATGCGAATCAGGCTTTAGCTTACATACTGCGGCGTCCACGCGGAATGAATCGCCACATGTCATATTATTCACGCGAAGCTTTGCGGTGTAACGAGCCTCAGTAGTTTCACTGAAGCCGCTCAAGATAGTCAGACATTTCCAGGAAGACGTAGAATCAACAATTAGAATTCGAAAAAGGGCAGGGAGACTCACATCGACGCCGACAACATCGCATTTCAATGGTTTGTTTAAGGGCGACGGCGAGCTTCTTGCCCACACCCCCATCGCGCATGCGTGGCGCCGGTGGCGTCCGCTAGGGGCGCTCCGGTTTGTTTGTAAACATGAGTTGGTGTATAGACAACTAATAACAAAACCGCTTATAGTGCAGGACCGGATATAACGCGGCTCTTTTCAACCACCGGTCCGCCTGTCATACAACTTCATGTAATTGCATACCACATAAAGTGCAGGTGAGCGAAGGGAAATACCGGTTATAGTGCGGTTTCTGGAATAGCCCACCGACCAACTGGCACAGCAAGCACACCCTCCCCTGTGCGAAATCAGATAATGGCGGAAGCGGCACTCGCAGGGGGGCAAGGATGGCAAGGAGGTTGCAAAGAAGAAGTGAGGAGAAGCAAAGAGAGAGGCGAGAAACTAATGACAACGCAGCGACATAGCGAGGTGCGATACACGCACACACGTGTTCAACCCCGAAAGCTTTAATGAGCTACCCCCCAAACCTTTTGCCCTTTCGATTTCACCCCCTAGCTCGAGTGACGCAAAACCAACCTCCTTTCTTACACCGCGCGCAAAACCAACATGGCAAAACAAAGGCTGGATAGCTAGATAGTTCCTAGTTTCACCGCTTGCTAGCTTGCTCTATGTCTGTTTAGACCGCGTGTGGGCCACATCAAGCATATCGTGAGGAAATCGACTGTCCATCCTGATCCGTCCCAGTGTCCCATGGCCAAGATGGCCAAAAAACGACAAGCCCTGTCTCTCGAAACTAAACAGAGCATTGTCAAAGATGTTGAAATTGGCATTGAAAAAAGCTTCCGTCGCGGACAAGTACAAAATCGCTGACACAACAGTTTCTACTGTCTGGAAAAATCGGGAGCAGGTACGGAAGCAGCTACAGCAAAATACTGCGCCGCTCTCAAGAAAGACTATTCATACATGAAAACGTTGACGAAGCCTTGTTTAGGTGGTTTTGCGAAGTGCGAGCCAAGAACGTCCCAGTGAGTAGCCCGATGCTACAAGCGAGGGCTAGGTCTTTTGGACATTTGTTCGAACACAAAGGCTTCAACACCCTCAACGGATGGATCCAGCGGTTTAAAGAACGCCACAGGATTAGCTGCGAAGTTATCTCGGGCGAAAGTGGGGAAGTCGACGACGCCAGCATCCAGGCATGGTTTCGAATTCATCTCGAGACGATGCTTTCTGCGTACACGGATAAAGACATCTATAATGCCGATGAAGCTGGTCTGTGCTACAACATGCTTCCCGATTGCACTCTCGCGACGACAGGTGAACCCTGTTCCGGTCGCAAAGTCTCAAAGGAACTTGTCATGGTTTTGTTTTGAGCAAACATGGATGGCTCTGACAAGCCGCGCTTGTTTATCGTCAGGAAATCAAAACGACCCCGTAGCTTCAAGAAGCAAGAATGTCTGCCCGTGGTAAACACAGCAAATGGAAAGGCCTGGATGACTGAACAGTTCTTTGCTAGTTGGCTGAAAAGTTTTGATGAGGCCACGGTCGCAGAAAAACAGCGCGTCATTCTTATCCTGGACAACTGCAGCGCTCACAATATGCAGCCGCAATTAAATGCGGTCAGTTCGAAGTTCCTGCTGGCAAACCCCACTGCTAAAAGCCAGCACCTCGATCATGGCGTCATCGCTACAGTCAAGGAGCTCTACAAGAAGCGCATGTGCGAAATAGTCGTCTTGAAATCGCAATGAGAGAAACCCATCAAGGTGGACTCGGGGGAACCATCGACATGATCACCGCGTCGTGGTGGCAAGTAAAAGCCGCAACCATCCGGAAGCGCTTTTGCGATGCAGGGTTTGTGCACTATGCCGGGAATTCGGAGGACGCCGATCGGCGCAGTGATGCGATTGACGAGGCAATTGGCGCGAATGACGTGTATTCCGACCTTGTGGAAATCCATTTTGTTCCTGCAAACGACGGGTTTCAAAACTATGTAGATGAGGATGACAGTGACTCTTTTTGTGAGGAAGCAACCACCGATGAAGCTATTGCTGCAGCGGTGCGAGGTTCTGGGATGAGTCTACCTGAAGATGAGTGGGTCGTGGACGAAGAGAGCATGCTGGAAGTTTCAAGTAAAGACGCACTGGAATTGTTATAGAAACTGAAGGTTCACTGTGAGCAGAACTCGTTCCGTGATGAGGTGTTCAAATGCCTTGATGTTATTGGATACCAGATCGTCTGCAATGCCGTTAAAAGGCAGCGCCAGACAAAACTCACTAATTTCTTTCAAAATGCGTGACACGCTTGAGAGAGACGTGTACTAGTCTAGTGAAATTAGAACTTTCCTCAGACTGATCTTTATTTTTTATCTAACATAAAATAAATTGTTTTACAAAGGTAAGTTGTCTCATGGCATGTATTTTGACCTGAAAAATTTATGTTTTGGTTTAGCGCGGTACCGCTTATAGTGCAGATTTCCGCGACTCCTGTGACATACGTTATATGCGGTCTACACTGTACCCCCCATGATTTCAAGAACAGAGAGCGGCACAAATATTTTTATCAGTCACCGCAAACGATTAGCAAGCAGCACATTTTTCGCCGTCCGACGTCATTCTTGCGAAGTGTTGAAGTGTTGAGTGACGGCACTCCACGCGCGTATTCAAGTGCTGTTCAAGGATGTTAAACACAAGTCATGCTTATCCTGACCTGTGCTCTATCGACTGCTCGCCACAAATTTGTTTTATCATCAAAGCAAGCGAGGCAAATGCCAGGGCTCTATGGCACTACTGCTGCCGCGATGAGATGCTGAATACCTCCAACATGGCACCAAGGCAGTGATGGCAAAAGATAATGTTGGTTTCAATTTCGAGGCTAAACGAAAATGACATCAGGTGCAAGAAGCCTATAAAGGAATTCTGTGGTGAATAAAATTTCGCAGATGCGTTTGAAACACCGTGTTTGTCCTTGTTTATTTTTTTGCCTCAGTCTAGAGTTTTAGTATGTCGATTAACAACCAGCTTACCTGCCTAATAACACTGTCTTGGAGTAAAATAATTCTAGACATCCAGTAGTACAGCTGCTTGTAGATGAAAAAGTTAAGTATGCTCTTTCTGGACATGTGCATCAAAGAAAGCACAAGATAGTGCTTTTCTCTTTCTTTTAGGGATGGGGCAAAACGTTTTCCTGAAACAGGTTCAGGGTGAGCGGCCAAACCCCCCAGTGTTTTGGATAGGTTCAGATAGTTTCAGAGCTGATCATACCAAATCAGTATGTGTCGCAACTTTTTCTGATGAGAAAGTTGATAGAGTGCAAGCAATAGTTAAAACTTAATTGTTATTGGTTTGCGTGTATGTTTAGACAGCTGGAAATTAACCAGCTCCAATGGGCATCTAGTGTTTCAGCCGTAGTTGAAAAATTTAGTCCTTCCAGTACAACCGCTAGCCTGGGGTCTTTGACGTGCATCATGTCGTGGTGATACATGACCACATGTTGGTACGATGCCTATTCAGATTGAAACGGGCAGAAGTGGGGAATGAACCTAGGATCCCTGGGTTCTGCAGTGCGAGCTTCTGTTCCACGCGCTCATAGCTGGCATGCGTTAACACAGACGGCCATCGTTCCCCTACAGTTGACTCTCGTTAATTCAAGATCTCTTAATTCAAACTTTCGGATAATTCAAACTAACGTGCAGGTCCCATCCTATGCGTCTCTGTGGGAAGGAACTCCTGATAATTCAAACTTTGCTTTATTCAAACAAATTTACGGCCCCCCCCCCCCGAGTTTGAATTAATGAGAGTTGACTGTATTATGAATACTTCCTTTGACAAAATAAGCATCAATTAGTTACTTTCTGGTCGTCTGAATCCATGAAAAAATGTTGGACGTTCTAAATATTGTCACGAATGACAATGAATGAGGCGATGATAACTGAAGAAACTAGACGTTTAATGGGGCGAACTTGTGCCCAAAACAAAAGGAAACAGTATCGCGTCAAGGGCATCGATGGCGATGTAACAGCAGGATCGTACGCTGAGGCAAGACTGACTTCGGCTCGCCACTCGGAGCCCTTTTTGTACACGCGGGGCTTCTAGAACAATCGGCCTAGAAGATTTGGCTCGTAGAACCATTCTGACCAAGAACAAGCAACATGATTCTCGAATTTACCAGAAGATCACATTACAGTCAACAAAAATGCATACATGTGGCCAGGCATCGAACCCTGGCTTTTTGCGTGCAAGGCAAGCGCGATAACCGTTAGGCCACGAGCACGTTGCCTGCTGAGCCAAGTGCGCTCGCGGCAATATGGGATCACGAGGCAGATGTGACACTGCTGATGCAAGGGTAATTATATTCATCCGTTTTTAGAGGAAACTTTCTTTCCCTTATGGCAAGGTCCTCGAGGAGGGCTTCCAGCAACCTTGCACATGTTTGTAGATCACCCAGTGCAAAACTTGGCGCATTAATGCCTTTGTGTGAAACAATACGAAAAGCATAATTGCTTAGACAATAACTGGCAGCAGCTGCATAAAAAAAAAAAAATCACCTGGAATGGTCGGGGGTGCGCCCGTCGCTCCGTAGGCCAGCTCCGGAGGAATCACCAGTTTGCGCTTCTCCCCGGCACACATCCTGCAAAAAATAAAAGAAACGTTCGAGAGATGAGTAAAAAGTCAGCAACATGTCATTGACTGGCGTGTAATTAATTGTGTTGTGCGTATGTTTCGGCAGAAAAAAGTTAGTCGGCACCAATAGGTGCCTGCTGTTTCTGCTGCAGATGAGAAACCTTGCCAGTGCAGCACCCCCGCTAGCCTGGCGCCTTCAGCGTGTGCCACGCTGTAGTGACTCAGAACCGCATGCCAGTACGATGCTCATCCAGATAGGAGTGGGGATTGAACCCAGGATCCCTGGGTGCTGCAGTGCGAGCTTTCGGCTTTCGCTCAACGTGCTCCGAGCAGCAGGTCATTAACACCCTTGACCACCGACACCAACCCCTCCCCCCTCCTCTCCCCCACTGGTGTATCTAGCGTCCTACACCCTCCAACCAATGGGTGCCTCATATGAAAACTTCTATTTTGACAACAAGCGATGTTGGCCTCTAAGGAAAAGTAATTTTCGTCACATAAAAGTCACATGGCGAGCAAGGTGGGTAAAGCCTGTAAAACTGCTCCAAACCTACAAAATGTTTTTTGTGGCATACTGTAAACGACTTATTTTTCGCGGGCTCAATATTTCGCGATTCAGGTAGAAGTTTTGAAACTATTCGCGGGTTCTAATTTTCACGGCACAGTGGGATCTCAATATAGATTCCAATGTGTTTACATTTTGCGGAATAGACTACTTCCTTAAAGTCCTGCATGCAACATGGCTCGCGGTGCACTCTGGGAACTAGTTGGCCAGGGAGGAGGGTGGCATGGTTTCGGTTTCGATCGACACGTCGACAAGAGATTATACACAGAGCGTGGACTATTAACGGCCGTTATCTCATGTTTCCTGGTCCCGAGAGCGTCGTTTGTGGTCTCTAAACTAATCTAAATGGCCAGACCTCGAAGCTTTAGCACAAGCCTGAGACGTATAGCTTGTCTTAACACATGCTTGCTGTATTTTTGTACTTGAGCCTTCCTGTTAGCGTTCCAATCGAGGTATGTGGACCAGCCAGTGCTGGAAATCTCGACGCTGCGAAGCTCGGGGATCTTGCTTGTGTACAAATGAACAAGCTGTAGCAACCAATAAGTATGCATACATCGAGCTCGGGCCTCTACATTAGTGTTGTTGATCAGGAAGTTTCTTTGTTTCGTGCGTCCATAGACGAAATATTACTTTTTGTAATTACTGTTTTTCTTAATATGCCTGAGTATGCGAGGTAAAACTAGGAGGCGCCATTGAAAAGCTCAATTTTAACACACTCCTTATCTCTTATCTGTACTGACCCGCAGCACTACATGAAGTGAAGTCCCCACCCGCTTGCATTCCACTAATATTCAACATCGCGTACGCGCATAAAGTTATCCTGCCAATCATATAGGCAAATTCGCACATACAGGTTGTTTTAAGAAAGCAAAAGTCGAGCACTTGTGTGAAGAATGTCGCACCGTTCGCCGGAAGTGCGCCGGACGGGTGCACCAAACGAACGAATTCAAAGCGCGTTTGACGGTTGCTAATGGCCATAATATTTGTTATGTGTTTGCTTTCTTCCTACCTGAGTATGCAGAGATAATTTCAGACACACCGTTCAGGCACAGATCTTGGGCGTCAGTAAGCGCTCGTCCAAAAAGGCTTAACAAGGAGTAGGGGACGCTTGTTAGGGCCTCCGTTGTAGCTAGCCGATCTCAGCGTTTGCGAAAAGTTAATCTTCTATCAGCATAAAATTTGAGTGGGAGATATATGATGACACGAGGAAGACATCATAGTAACTTCTGTGCAGTAGTGAGGTCGAATTTATTACGTTTCCTTAAAAGTTCATGCGTAAACGCTGGGTTCAACTTTGATACCCTGTGAGGATGCGGCTTGCTTTTCGCCCAATGAAGTAACAAGAAGCGGACGTTTGGCAAACAAAATACGTGTAAGGCTCCAGATGAACAAAATTTCAGTTTTAGTTCACTGGTACAAGACGGGATTATTGAAATTGAGCTCAAACACCCACTCGTGGGGTGAGGTGACTCAGCCACGATAAGTTTGCATATGCACGCACAATATCCGGTGTTTCGGGAACCAAGGAAAGTGCCCCGGTCTTCGTTTTGAATCGCTCGAAAATTAGTGTATTGTATGTTCGTGAAAAGCCAGATAATCGAAAACGCAAGCAGCGCGTTCGGTCACGGCGTGATAGCATGAGATGAAGCTGCTCAGTCGAAACCAAAACTGAGTGGCCAACTAGTTCCCACAGTGTACTGCGTGGTATTTCGCCGCAATGGGGCGCGTCAGTTTTGGAAGAAGTCCATTGTTTGTGCGACTTACTTGTCGCAAATCGAAGGCGATTCGCGAATTTTGCTAAAATTAAGTCGTTTACAGTATTCTTTTTCCTCTTTCTTGCCAGGGGAGCACCTTTTGTGTTTTGAGTGTCCTATCCATATAACTTTAAAAGCACAGTGTGGCTTCAATACGCATAAGGAAAGCTGCACGGTACTTGTTTTCAGCAAGATCTCGAAAAAAAAAAAAACCAAAAACCCCAAAAAAGAAAGGTATTATTCTCGTGCAAAAAAAAAATTAATCCGAAACAACGCAATTTTTTTTTTTTTTTTACAGGTGAAATTGCAATGTATTTTTTGTGCTTTTCGGTTCAAGTCAGGGCACAAAAAAAGAGTGACATATTATTTTTTTTCTTCATATGTATTTATGTTTTTAGGAAGCATTTCCAAAGTCTTTGAAACTTTACATGTATGTCAGAAAAACCAATGGGTCTTGACAGCGCTCACAAACGCTTTAACGCATGAAAATCTTCCTCTGTTCCTAACAACAAGACTTGCGTGCTTGCACTTTGGTTACCTGCCACTTGTGATTCCTATATACTAAAGTGCATACACCACATATCCCAAAACAGGCTCACTGTTCTTGTTACACACAATTCGTAAGATTTGCCAGTTCCACTTTTTAAGAGCGCAGCCCTTAGGCACCCATTTCCGGCTCGAATGGGGTCGCCATCGGCGTAACGGCTTGTTGCATTAAAAGACGCTTCTCATAATGACCTCACACATGACGTCACAAGGTACACAAGTAAGTCACAAGGGCCATGAGGGCAACATCACATGGGCATACTTCTCAAGAGCTGTGCTCCTATTCGGCCTTACTGAGGATTGTAAATGTCTTTCATTTTTTTAATATTCAACATTTTGATAAAAATAAAGTTTTCCTTTTACTTTCTTGAATTCCTTTCTTAACATGCAAAAAAGAACCAATTAAAACTATTATGAATAGCTATTTCTTTATTCTGGAACTGAAAGACGCCAGAATCCTTCTCCCTGTTCTGGAATGAACACCGGAAAGAAAAACATTTGTGTTCGACACCCAGCTTCCCAGAAATACCAAGTGAAGGTCCATGAACTCACGCCAACAACCCCTGGTCCCAGCCACGGATCACCTGTCCCGATCCGAGAGTGAACGACAGCGGATCACCCCTCTTGTAGCTGTTGTCGAATTCCGTCCCATCTTCAAGGGTGCCCTGAAGGTGAAAACCCACTCATTAAAGATACTTACGGTTGTCTCCATACTCTGTTTCCCTTTAAGACTGCAACGGATGCTACGAGCCATGTTAGCCGATCCAACGCTTCATGCACGACAGACGACTTCACGCTCGGCGCGTCGCTCCGCCCAACCAGAAGGCCACATGACACCCATGAGATATGGATTGAATCCGGTGACTCGCAGCATCCGCTGCGATCCCTCGTAAGCTAAAAGGAAGCATGGCAAACGTAAGGGGAAAAATTGTTCACTCCAGAGCCTCAGAAATGGTGGCATCTATAATTCTAACCAGCCCTGCACCTTGATGGTGAAGTCTTTACCGCTCCCTGCTGTTGGCCGATACTGTGACACTACCGTCACTAAGTGCGTGCTATGTTCAATGATTGGCGTGCCATTCAAAGCAGGCTAAATGTTCTTTTTAGGCCACTCCTCTAAAAGTCAAGTCAGGATTCAGTTCAGATTTCGTGAGATTGCTAGACTGGCTGGTAAAATTTGAACAAGGGTCTCAGGCTATCGAACGCCGCCGTACAACCTGAAACCACTCTTTTTTAATGCACGCAGCGTAATTAATTGTGCCACCATGTAGGGCTATGCCTGTTTTCTGGCGTTTACACCACTTACTCAAGTCACCGCCAGGGCAAGACCGGCAGGGTGTCTGTTTCGAATGTCCGGCCTCTAGCACACTATCATTCCTTTTCGCTGTGCATTGGCTGTGTGTGCACGCACAAATCTCACAGATGCCCAAACGTTATCGGAGGTGGACAACTGAAAAAGCTCCCGGCCATTCTCATCTTGTCGGTGAAAAGAAGCATACTACCGTTTTCTTTTCCAGACCTGTACATGATTTGCCTAGCCACAAGAAAAAAGGAATTCGGGGACCTCCCGACCTTGTAGTGCATGTGAAGGACGTCGCCCTTCCTCGACTTGGTGTCGCAGACCTCGGGTCGTTTCTTGACTCCGATCTGAAGCCTCCTCGCCTCTTTCGTCGTCTTGGCGCTGTCTCCGTCGCCAATGGCCACAAAGTCGATCAGGCAGGACAGCACAGCAAAGAACAGCAGGAGATAGCAGATGGCTAGACGTACGCTCGGGGAAAGCATTGCCTGGACGTGTACCCGAGCGCAGAAAAGAGAAGAGCGGTTAAAACATTGTTGAGTATCCTCAAGAAATGAGTTTTAAGAATGTTTGCATTGTGATCGGAAATTCACAAAATGCTCGCGGGTCTGTTAACTCTCAAGAATACCAGAATGCAATGTTAATGTTTATTTCGTGCCAAAATGAAAGGGTTTTCTAAAGGTTAAGACGCATCATTCCTTTTCGCACACACGCCGCACTTGTAAAGTGTTACAACATTGTTAAAGACACTTACGCTCTTCTTTTTTTTTTTTTTTTTTTTTCTCAACTGTTCTTATTTTTTTTTTACAAGCTGTTTTAATTCGATGTGATAGCGGTGCCGAGCGTTCCAGAATATTTGTACACGTAGACTACGCATATCCCTGAAGACTGGCATTATATGCCTGCCATTCGCGCTTCGTTTACAAGACAGGTTAGCAAAATATTGTGAAAGATACGTTGTCCGGCGGTGGGTCACACATATGGGAGTGCTACACAATTAAATCTTCCGTTAGCCACGGAAGAAAGGTCGGAAGGTTCACGAATGAACGCCGCCAACCGGGTCACAAATCACAACAAAACACGGGTCCAAATGTGCCCAGTCGTCCGTGCTCTATACAATTACAAAGCTACCTAATAGAAGGCATCTTTAGAAGTGAGACGAACGCAAGTTACCTTGTGCCAGAGAAAAGGAAGACTGGAAGAAAAAATCACAACTCGCAACCTACCTCAACGCGACTAGAGAACCGGCAAACAGCGAGCGAAGCGAGCGAAGTGTACAAAAAAAAGAACAAAAAAACAAAAACAAAACGACACGTTTCAATGTTGCCGGAACTTACGCAAAAATCTGCCAAAGAGGTCATAAACGCAGAAGTGAAATCGAATAGTGTTGTGTGAACGGGAAATGTTTAAATAAATATCTAAAACCCCGCTTTATTAAATCAATGACCGCGTTTTTTTGTTTTCTAGTCTTATTGCTTTTACCGTTTTTATGGTCTTAGTTTTAGAATGGAGTGGTAACGGCTTGGGTGTTTGGGTAGTTTCGGTTTCGCTCTTGTGATCGGCGCGGCTTTCAAAAAGGGTAAATGTTGTTCCTATTTTTTTATATTTTTTATATGTGAAATATTTAGTTCATTCTGCAAATTTCATTAAACAGAACCATTCTGATATTTCCCACTTTTAAGCTTCTAAGCATGCCCCACAGATCACGAGATGAAAAGTATTGATGGACATAATCTGTCGAACTTCAGATTCGGCAGTATGCCATATGCCGAACGTTTAAAGGAAACTTCGGCAAAGACTCAGTAAAAATTCGGAAAATGTCTGCGCACGCGCGAGAACGCGACGGGGCCATGGATTGCAAAAGTACGCCGTGCGGTCGTGTAGTTACCATCGTACAGTGTAGAACAACCAGCGGCTACGGCTAGGTGTGGGTGTAGGCAACACGGTAACTGCGTTTGTGAGCCTTTGCGAGTGTGGTTCTCTTCAATATTTTCTGCCTCAAGAACAGAAGATCGACCAATAATTCACGCAGTCCACTGCGCAAGTGACAGATGATGCGGTACTTTCTGAATGACGCAATTTTCATTTGACCTTTTTAGTTATGCACCCAGGTAGTTGAGGCATTGACTCACAATTAATTTAAAGCACTCCTTGCAATTATAACAATCCTGTTTTCGGCTCACAAGAAGTTTGTGCCAAAACAAAATAATACTGCTTTTTAATTAGCGCTATTTCGCGGTTATCATGTATCTACATAAAACTAATCCCAAAACCAGTGTGTTCGACGTTGCACATCCGACATTCCTAACTCTTCCCATCTTCCTAAACGTCCGTGTGTGTCCTGTCCTAACACCAGAAATCGGCATTCGAGACGTTGCGAACGCACACTCTCACGCAAAGCTGATGTCGAGTGACTAAACTCGAAAAACATATATTGACATAATATTGTTATTTTTTCTGGTGAAGGTTCAGTATTAGATAAAATTAGCGCAAACGACAAGAGAAGAGAAAGGTAAGACAGGACAGGACAGGCTAATTTTATCTGATCATGTCTAACCAACTAGCCCAACAGATGATATTGATGAAGGTTCAGTAACCGTTGCATTCATTTTCGCACACGAAACGGTGATTCCCAGAGAAAGTAATACCGTATTGCTATTGCCTCTGTATTTACACCACACACACTTGCAGGCTTGCGCCTGATGAGGCTTCCAAACCGAAACTCTCGTAGCGTTATCCGTGACTGCCAACGTTACTAAAACACTCAGTTTAGAAACTCACCGTCGAAACTTCAGTCGCTGGCGTCCACCGAGACCGAGCTAAATACGACAACAGCGCCACTCTTTAGCATTTTTCTGTACTGTGGTCACCTTGAGCCTTTACAAAGAATGTTTGTGCGTAAAAACAAACGGAAAAGACCCTTTTTGTATGAAATTTATTGGAGTTTAGTACAATATGATGGGCGCGGAACGTTTTAAAAATCTTTAGTTCGCAGGGTTTTGCGGAACAATTAGTATTGTTTTCATACAACCATGCCTCAGCGGGCCTTTCAGGTAGCGCGTCCCGCCCTAGGTGCATTTTAACTTCAGTGGTTGAACGCGGCGCTCCGTTCTCGAGGACAGATCGGGGCACATTTTTCAGAGCTGTCTTATGGCAGTTTCCCAACTGAGTAAAGTGACCAGACGTCCCGATTTAGGCGGGACAGGTCCCGCTTTTCCGGCCGTGGTCCCGCTGTCCCACCAGCGTGCTTGTGGGACGCCGTTTTGTCCCGCTTTTGGTTCTCAAACCACGGATAGATGAAAGATTCAGTTAAACGAAAGGATCGCAGCGGTGAGAGGGTGCTTCCTCTGATCAAGGAACAAGATATGCTTGTGAGAGGAGATGCTGAAGGTTAATTGGCATATGACATGTGAACAGTACTATAGACGTAGTACACAAAATAAATACATTAACACTAAAGGAATATTCCAACCAAATGTATTAGATATCTGCAAGCCACACAGTACGCAAATTGCAAGAAAAATAGATGCACACGGTGTATAGGAAATAATGAAAAGGCATGATTTGTTACCCTACCCTACCCTACCCTACCCCCCCCCCCCCCCCCCCCCCCCCCCCACAGCTGAGACACCGGACGCCAATTGAGACTAACTTCCGGCTGTATAAACATACACATTACATTATCATTGATCAATACAATAGATAGTTTTAGAATAGAGGGTCCGCAGCTTTGAGTCCCCCAAACAACTTGAGACGTCGCACCACGCATGCGCAGGCGTTCTGCGGATGGGCAGTGCGACGCTCCACGCTGTTGGAGGTACCCAAAGCGTGGGGGTCCCCTGTTCTAAACCCCCCTAGATTTGTAATTATGGGTGGCGCGTTTTTCGGAGCTCCGAAGTGGACGATGCTGAAGATGGCGGCGTGGCACGAGCGTCCGTGCACGTCCTCGGTGTTGGCAGGCCGAACCAGGAAGGGGTCCCGGCAGGACGAGGAGTCTGCAGCGGCGCGTACGATCCAGCCGCCGGGCACACCAGCAGCATGGCAAAGGTCTGCTTGCTGCTGGCCACGCTCCAGATGCTCTGCCTGCTCGGAGTCTCGTCGGAGCTGAGCGACTTCGTCACCAAGTACGAGAGGGTCCGCATGCACTCCTTCACGGTGCCCACCACCAAGGGCGTCGACTCGATGAGCGTCAAGCAGGAATCCCAGGGCGGGTACAGGGTGTCCTTCGAGGCGTACGGCCAGAAGTTCAACCTCTCCCTCGCCGAGGACCCGAGGCACATGAATCGGATCCCGGTGTACGTACACAACAACAGCGGCGTCTCGCGGGTCTCGTATGACTCCGACTACACCATCTACATCGGCAGGCTGGAGGACAACCCCAGGTCCGAGGTCATGGGCTACTTCCGCGACGGCATCTTCGACGGAGTCATCCGGACCGAGAGCAACGTGTACTTTGTCGAGCCGGCCGACAACTTTTTCCTTGAGAAGCAGAACTACGACGCCGTCGTCTACTCCGGCATGGAAGTCATGGCGCCCGACTGCATCACCATGGACGGCGGCGTGAGGGCCTGCTTCCAGAACAAGACGCACGCGTACGGACCATCCAAGATGCTCCAGCGGCTGCCCGCCGAGGACGTGCTCACGCGGATGAGCGCGCAAAGGGTCAAGGAGTTTGGCAAGGGATCCAGCCTGAGGGTGTGCGGCATCGAGCTCCTGGCGGACCACTCGTTCTACCGGTCCCGCAACCGCAACATCAACCTGGTAGTCCAGGAGATGATTCTGCACCTGCACTACGCCGACCTGGTCTTTCGCAACACTGACTTCAACCTGCCTTTCCGGATCGGTCTCATTCCAGAAAAAGTTGGTGTCATTCGTAATATGTCTCAATACGAGGAATTGTTCTTAGAAAAATGCACATTTTCCCTTTTAATCTGATCCGTCTCAGGTGGTCTACATTGGCCACATAATTGTTTTTTTATTACTAGCTGGTTGAGTCTGTCGCTGTTGAGTGCGAGTTTATGATGAAGTTCCACAACGCTTTCGTAACATGAATTCCACACCACTAAGATTGTAGCTCTTATAAGATATGTGAAGGCTTGTTCTGAGCATGCACTGCGAACGCTGCACTCGAGGTTCCTATTGAATACTAAGTGAATAAATAAATAAATAAAGGAAATAAATAAAGGGTACTCCTTGATTGAAAAAAAAATATATATAAAAGAAACGCAATTGAGCGCACCCGTAAATAGTCCACATAGAGATCTGCACTCACCGTAAAAGTTTACAGTTAGTGAGTGCATTTTGAATATGTTATCTGTTAACGCCAGGGCGTCCCTTTGTTAGAAGAAGCAAAATGTTTTTCGTGAGAAAAAACAAAATATCAATGTTAAGTCTGGTAACGTTGTAATTTTGCCGAATCATTGCCAAATCTTTAGAAAAGTTGGACAAAAGTTGCGCCGAATTTTCGATTTGGGGGGGGGAGGGGGAGAGGGTCTGGTTTGCCCCCCCACTCAAAAACAAGTTGGTACGCCACTGGCCCTTACACTCCAGCAAAACGGATGGCACTCAGAGGGAAAACCGTGAACTGGAAAGAACATTTCCTTTCGCGAATTTTGCTTGTCTTTTGTGGCTTCCGTGATCGAATGCTGCATGTCGGCGGCTGGCGCGATAACCGCCGAAGTAAAGCAAGGGAAGTTATGTTGGTTGTTTCCAAAGCAACGGCAACGGCAGGAATGACAGGGGCGCAGGGAAAACCAGGACTCATAATTCCGGCAGAAATTCGGCGCGCCTAAAGTTGCTTCTCGAAGTGTAGGAGTGCCGGGAGGAGAGATGTCGCGGCGAGTCATTTCTGCGTGTTCCCTAGGTCATTGGGAACGCAACCTACGGAACCGGGTGAAATAGATAGTTTTAGTTCATCGTACGCCGGCGGAAAGCGAGTCCAACGGGCCCGTGGTCAATCCATGATTCGAAGCGACAGCACGAGCTCCCGCTAGCAGAGCGTACTCTAGAACACGGTTTTCTAAAAGTCTCTGTTGTGCGGTGATGATGAGCGTGGTAAAGGTTGCCAGGGTCAATCCTTTATATATATGTAGGATTACTAACATGGAGCAGGATATTACAGCTATGAAAAGTGCATCAGCTCTGCTACAATCACCTAACAGCCCGCTAAATGCCATCCCATTAGAACTTTCAAATAGAAAGTTAGGTGTCACGATGCAGAAACCGTATTCGTCGATCTAACTGACTTTTCTTCGGATTACCGGATCCTCAGAGAGAAACGTGGTCAAAATCCAAAGAAAGCGTCATTGACTTCTCTTTATAAAATCTGGGCGTCACTCTTGCCCCCTACCAATTTTGAAAGATATCATCGCTTAAGCCGTTTCACAGAAAAAAAAGAAAAAAACCGTCCAATCATTTTAAAGTTACTACGTCATAAAGACAAGGAATCTGTTTTGGCGGCCGGTTCCAAGCTGAAAAATACTACTTTCGCCGTCCGAGAAGATTATACGAAATCATTTCGCCTAGCGCGCGGGAACTTGTTTCGATTTGCAGAGTAGCAAATATCGCCCTTCAAAATTCGACTTAATAAGCTTCTAACTACTGACAAGCGCTACATTTACGATCCGACTGATGACTGCGTGAACGTCTTTGAGGCATAGCTAAAACGCAGTCTTGAGTAGTAACGCGTTACTAGTGACGCGTTACTGTAACTTTGTTACTTTTTTGGTAACTTGTAACTGTAACGAGTTAATTTTTTAAAGTGTAAGTTTAACTGTAGCTCTTATACTTTTTCTCAAGTAACGATGAAAGTAACGACGTTACTTTTGTCGTTACTTTCCAGTTTTTGATGAATATAATATATCACTGAACGCACAATCTAGCGATTCCTTGCACTTTCCAAATTGCCTGTTCCGACATTTCATGTGTCAAGTTTGCCTTGCACAAACTTGGGAATACGTTCTTTCTCGCGAGTCACGACCCGAATATAGCCACGTGTAGATGTGATGAAAAAATATCTAGCTATCTTTACGCACGCGCATGTACTTCGTGACTGAACACTTACATCTTAGTATCTCGAAGCACTGTCTATGTTGCGGGTGCTCTTTTTTCTGCGCAAGCGCTTTCTAAACGGGTGAATCAACCGTGAAACAATACACACGGAGGGCACTGCGAACGTTTCGTATTTTGATTAGCTCTACCACTCCGCAATGCGCATGTTTCGTATTTTGATTTGCGCCACTACTCCGGCGAGGAATCAAGAGTCGAGGCAAAATTTACTGCTGTTTGCGCGGGGTTTGCTCGTTGCTCTGGTTGCGCGGGGTCTCTTCAGTAAGGGCTGCGACATGTTCGCCATCAAACGAGGGACACGTTCCGACACTAATTTTGAGAAGCAACTGCTGCTAAGTTAAAATATAAAGTAAAAAGCTTACTTTTTAATTTTATGGAATAAAACTTGGTGAAGGACGTTCTCTAGTTTTTCCTAAATTTTCGTGTTATAGAAAAGTAACTGAAAAGTAACGTCGTTACTTTTTAAAAGTAACTGTAACGTGTTACTCTTTTGTTGCGGTAACTGTAACGGTAACTTCGGTACTTTTTTTCTGAAAGTAAATGTAACTGTAACGAATTACTTCTTAAAAGTAACTTACCCATGACTGCTAAAACGAAACAAGTCTGACCAGAACCCGCCACCGCCCTGGTTGCGGGACAAGACTAAGAAATCGCAGTCTCATTTTGTTACTTTTAAAAACGTCCAAAACTACATGTAAAAAAAAAAAAAAAAAATTCATTTTTTTTTTTGTTTTTGCGATAGCAATTTAGATGTTGCAATATTTACGGAAACTTGGCTAAAACCGGATGTTAGTGATGAGGAACTCCTTTATCCGAGTATGGGCTTTTATCGGCCTCGGCAGCGTGGTAATTGTGTCATTGTAAGAATAAGAAGTAAATTGTCTTCATTTCATGTCCAGCTGAATTGAGACCTTGAGTAATGTAGAGTTTCTTTGTCTTCGTAATTCAGTAAAACTCTTCCCAACTAGTGGCTGTTCGTTTACGAATAAATTGCATACTGCTTCAAATAAAATCACCAGCCGTTTGCCCAAAACCAATATTTTATTTTATGGGGATGTTAACTTCCCAGAAATTAACTGGCAGCTATTAACGTCTACGTCACGTGATTCAAAGCACTTTCTTCACCTATGTCGGATGTTCAATCTCGTTCAAATGATTGATATGCCTATCCGGTACTTGCCTCATCCCCTCATCTGGTTGATTCTGCTGTGTACTTGCCCGGTCTTAGCGATCATAATAATAACTATATCGATACCTTTGCCTGTAAATATTAAGTTGCCCTTCTCAAAGGTTATTTTGGATTTCAACAAAGTCAATTAGGTCGGTATTCACGGCGAGCTACTATCTTTTCTTTAAATGTCTTTCTCTCCTTTTTTTTCATGACGGTCTGTATATCTCGTAAACTTTTCCCGTCACTTTTTCGATACTCTCTAGGCACAGAAACCATTGAGCGTATTCAATCATATAAATACCTCGGTGTACATTTTTCTACTCATATGTCTTGGGCTAACCAGATTGATAATATACCTGCCGAAACTTGCAAAACTCTTGGTTATGTCCGACGCTGCCTGTACTCCGCTCCCCCTGATCTGCGGCAGCTGGCCTACGAAACATTTGTACATCCAAAAATACAGTATGCAGCTGCCAACTGGTCTCTTCCTCAAATCTACTAAGACAACTCCTTAGAATCTATACAAAATAAAGCTGCACGTTTAATCCTATCTAACTATGATCGTAACGTCAGTGTATTAGCAATGAAAGCCCCTCTCTGGGCTTCTCAACTCTCAATACTCGCCGCCAACTATCACGAATTTCTCTCTTTCATAAGATTTTTTACTGGCACCCTCAACTCAGACAATCTTTATTCTTCGACCCCCGTCGTTCATCTCGACGCTATTTTAACATTCTTGGTGTGCGTCGTATCCTCGGTCCCACCGTCCCATTAAACAGCTGATTTCTTCCACTTGCCATAATAGATGGGAACGATCTGCCGTACCACATGGTTAGCATAAGTGACCCACATCGTTTTAGAAATGCAATGTCATAAATAATAAATATGTAACTATAATTATTTTAGTGTGCTTTATTTTTCCCCCTTTTGTAGTATATTTTCGTAAAATGTGCCCTATGTATGTGCCTTTCTGTATCCCCCCCCCCCCCCCTTTTTCCCGAGGCCTTTAAGGATCAATGAATGAATGAATGAATGAATGAATGAATGAATACATGAGGTGTAAAGTTACAGATGCATTGCACCTTGGAGGCTTCGCTGCACTTCAAAGTAATTTAGTTGTTTTCTTTACTAAAAAAACGACAACAACTAGTACTCATGTCTTTTCATTATTCTCGACATAACCCTGGTTCTGAAGAGAAGTCTAATATGTTTGATATGTTTAACTCGTGTTCTTGAGCGTTACCTAAAACTAAACTCATCTACAGCAGAAATCTGTAGTACCTAAAGCAACACTGACCATTACGGTGAGCGACCCCATACGGTGAAATGCGCCATAAAGGAGCGGTCTTATATAACAGTCACAATCAAAGTCAAGTTTGCGGGGTTTTACCTGTCAAAGCAACTCACACCCCAGCGGAGGACCGATTATTAATTTCGACCACCTGGGGATTATTAATTTCGATTACACGGCGCCTTCTCCGCAATAACGTGCGTCCTGTTGCGGGCACTTGGGCAGGGATTCGAACCCATCACCTGGGGATCGGCAGGCCGGCGCTTTGCCCCGGAGTAACCGAGACGGCTTCCTGTATATAGCAGGACAGATCGGCGTCGCTCTCAGGAATACTTGTCAGTAATTTCTTTCTTCTCGAAGGTGACCATTTTCACGGACCCCAGCACGAAGGGCTACCCTCTGGGTCAGGAGGACCTTTCCGCCAAGGACTACCTGGCCAGCTTCTCGTTCTACGTGCAGCGGCACTGTCTCGTGGTCGGCTTCTCCCACCGACCCTTCGAGAGTAACACGCTGGGCATTTCGTGAGTCGAGACACAGCCGACGGTTGACGCTGATCTCTCTCGATGATGCCTCATGCCCTTTGCGAAGCTGTTTAAAATGACATAAAAGTAAAATCCAACAAGTCTTATTCTCGGACATAAAAACAAAATCGAAAATAATTAATTATTAGAAGACTGCACTTTTGTGTGGGTCCACGCTTCCTGGAACGGCTGACCTTCCTTTAGTCTCTAGCTTTATTCCTGGCTCGAATGACCTTCTTCGAGACTTCGTAGTTTTCGATATTCAATCACTGCATTAGGTGGATTTATTTGCCTAAATTAGCGCAATATAGGTATCTACATGAAAGACTGCGTCATTCTTGTGCTCAAGTCAGAAACCTTTAAACCTTTGAATAAAAATTGGCTTTCAAAGCGACGGCGCGTCATTCTACTATACTCCGTGGTTAAAGGAGATCATCGAACGAACGAGTGCGAGGTATAGAAGCGCATTTACAGCCAAGAGACAATATTTAACGATTCAAACAGTTGATGCACGCTGCCTTTTCTACAAACAACTGGATAATTTACGCTCCCTAACACGTACCAGATTCGTGGCCAATCCCGACCCGGAGGGCCCCGTGGGCGGCATCTGCGAACTGCCGATGCGCTTCATCGACCAGGACACCATCCACAGCTTCAACATCGCGTCGATCACGACGAGCACGTCGAACCGCAAGCGCGTCCCGCACGGCGTCTCGTTCGGCACGGTGACTCACGAGATCGGCCACAGCTTCGGCTCGCCCCACGACCCGGCCGCTGACCCCTCGTGCCACCCGATCGGCAAGTCCGGCTTCTTCATCATGGTCAAGTACTCGGTGGACGGGTCCCTGCCCAACCACCGGGCCTTCTCGCCCTGCTCCGTCCGAGACATGCGCAAGGTCGTCAAGGTGAGTGCGACGCCGACTCGGTGGGAAAACTCATGGTCATGCTTATGGTGCCCCGTGACGTCACAGTGTCGTCTGTTGTCATAATGTCACGTGCGTGACGTCAGAGTGTCACCTGACGTCATGGTATGATGTGGCGTCACAATGTAATGCGATCTCATGGTGTCATGCAACATGACACCACATGACCGCGGCACGTGACGTCAAAATGTTACCTGATGTTGCGGTGTCGCATCTTGAGACATCAGTTGACCATGTCACATGACGTCACGGCGTGACGTGACGTTGGCAAGTTCGAAAGAAGGGTGAGTGCGCAGGCGAGCTGGTAAAAAGTTGTCATAACTTGACCTGAGGGAGGGAATGAAAAGAAAGAAACTTTAAAGGAAAGATTAATTCTCACAACGTCTTCGAATATGGCTAAGCGTTTATTCAAGACTGAACTCTTTTATAGGGACGGAACACCACAGTTAACGCCGAAAGACCCATTACAAGGTTCCCTCTACAACGTTCTTACTGGGAAACAATAGGTTTCTCTGCTAGATTTTTTGGGTAATTTTATCGCTATATTTAAAGGAAACATTTCTCCACCACTACATACAAAGTGCCCTCTCCCCCTTCCCTAAAAAAATAAAAAAAATAGGAGAACACTTACAGGGATTTTTTAATTGCAAAAATAAACTACGCATCGCCGAACGCTCATTCGCCGCCCAAAGCTAGCACTAGAGGATCGAACCAGATGCCGAAGTTTCAGCATTTACCGATATTTTATTCCAAAGTAATAAATGATCTTTTGAAAATTTCATTGGGAAACGGAGCTCATTTTCGCCCGTTTTCGGCTCCTGGCGCCATAGAGCTCCATGTATTCGACAGCTCCGTCGGTCACTATTTTCCCGTCGAAATTTGCAAAAAATCATTTAGAACTTTTGAATAAAATATCGGTTCGCGCTGAAACTTTGGCATCTGATCGAACCTCTACAGAGCTCCGAACCAGATGCCGAATTTCAGCCGGACCCTCATTTTCCGCCGAACGCTCATTCTCCGCCCAATGGTAGCGCTATAGCGCTACCTTTGAGTGGAGAGTGAGCATCCGGCGATGAGTTTTTTTTAAATTATTTTTGCGGTGAAAGAAACCCTGTACGCGAAGAACGCCTCGGGATCCACTAACAAAATTTTGCCGAACATAATAGCGCTTCACGACATGGACGAAGAGAAGGAACGAGACAACACAATGCAAGTTTCAGTACCAACTCGCCCAAGAATCCACATTACTCAAAATTTTGCCAATAACGGCTGTTGCCCCTTTCCCCTCCAACGTTTTTTACCAGTTGATTGAAGCGCCACCTATTTTGCACGCTGTGGTGTGTTTTCGAAGCAACAGTTCAGAGACCAGCCGCAGCCAGTCAAAAGAAATGCTATTGCATAAACAGAACAAAAAAAAAAAAAAAAAAGAAGAAGCACTCCACAACTTCGTAAAAGAATTTGGCTCAGTGATGCTGACCGTAATCCTTCCCAAAAAGAAGCGGGAATGGTCACTCCGACGGGACGACGTATAGGGCGTTTTCACGGGACGTCAATCCGCCCTTTTGTTGTTAGTTTGTCTTTTCAAACAAATTTACTGATTTCAAGTATTACATCGCAACTGGTTGAGCTGATGTCAGCGTAGTAACACTTAAGCTTTTGTGCTCTACGCATTTGAAGGGTCCTATACATCCTTGGAATGCTCGAATTCGGCACACGCCAGACAGCTCACATCAACAAAAGGTGGACGAAATTATGTCAGCGAAAGCATCTTATACGCGGCTCCCACCTTTCTCCTTCCCCAACCGCTGGCTCGGGATATTAGGGATCATCCTAGACATGGCGCATGTAACTTCAAAACACGGCGATGACGTTTAATCCCCTCCTCAAAAAAAAAAAAAAAAAAAAATTCTTGTGTCGTGCGGATACAATATTGCGGTGGTTCATCGCTCTTTCGAACCCGATGTTGATAGTGCGCAATCGAAACAAATATATACAGATAAGTGTGATTCAAAATGGCTTCCACGCAACGGTCAAATACACTGATCTCTGTGACAATTGATGGATCGTGCTTCCCCGCTTGTGCGCTGCAGCGCAAGTGCAGCCACCGGACGGCCATCTTGCTCGTAGACGATTTTTCGGTTTTGCTAGCGTTGCAGAGGCTGGCGGCAGCGTGCTACATACAGGTTTTCTACTCGTTCGTCGTCATTCGCCGAATAACTTTTCTTAAGACTCTGTGTAACCGTTGAGACTTGCCGTTGTGAACACGTGGAAAATTTTACAAAAGCGCAGTGCCGCAGGAAAAAGGCACAACTCGTTGAAAGTAAGTTTCGCCGGTCTCGAGGCGGGATTAAAGCTTTCTTGGCACGCCTAAGTGCTGCGTCTCTGTGCCTTCGCACGCTTGGATACCGATCAAGAATCGATGCCGTGTAGATGTGTTTTGCAAGTGCAATGTGCGTGAAGCCGTATGTACCTCTGGGCAGCGTTTTACTTTTACTCTGACGACTGTATTCGTAACTTGCGGCTCTCGCGGGCCAGAAACAAGCTTGATCCACTGTACAGTGGCAACGGATGAGAGAAAAAAGAGAGGGGAAGGAAGCGGCATCAGCGACGCGTTGTTTTTTTTTTTTTTTTTGCTTACTACTAGGCGCTTATGGCAATCGAATCAGTAGTACAACATTTTTATTTTTGTTGTGGCTTTTCCCTGCTGCACTGTGCTTTTGTAAAAATTTTCACGTGTTCTCAACGGCAGCCTTCAACGCTTTCACAGGGTCTTAAAAATCTTCTTCGACGAAGGACGACGAACCAGTAGAAGACGTGTCCTCAGCATGCTTTTGCCAGCCTCTGTAACGCTAGCCAAACCGCGAATCGTCTACGAGCAAGATGGCAGTCCGGTGGCTTCACTCGGGGGAGTGGGAAGCGCGATCCAGCAGTTGTCACTGAGATCTGTGGTCAAAGTCAACGCCACTCGAATACTCAGTTGGGAAACTGCCATAGAAGCCCGCTTTGAAAAAGAGGCTCCGATCCGTGCTCGAGAACCAAACTAAGGACGATTGCAACGCCGCCATTTCTCGCGCAGAGGCCACTTCGCAAACTGCACGGCTGCACGTATTGGTTCAGCTCGAGTCCCGCAAGAGCTTTGGCGCCATCTCGCAGTAGCTACATAAAGCAACTTTTATGTTTTGACTCGTCGCTAAAGGGTGACGGTGTTATCGTATTTAGTTTGGTCTCGGTGGACACCAGCAGCCCAGGTTGCAGGGGGGAGTTTCCCAACTGAGTGTTTTAGTAACGCTGGTCAAAGCTAAGAGGTCAACCCGAAAGACTAAGTGTTGGCAATAGTCGGCGGACGGCGTTTATTTGCAGCGTTTTTTCTTAAAGCAACAGCTGAACGTATGGGCTTAGGTGGATTTGACCTGAAGACTCTACGGCCCTGTCTCTCTCCGCATGACTCCCTGTAGGCGTCACGCTAAACTAAAACAGCCACCGAAAAAAGAGGACAACAAAGACCGCTGTTATTTCGGATAGAAAAAAGGGGAAGCAAATATTTTTAACTATTACCTTCGTAATCTACTATGCCTGTGCAATCCTACACTGTAAACCTTCTTTCTTTTAACGCGACGATGACTGGACGCGGACGGCTGCCCCACCCACACAGCGCCTGGCCACGCACCCTTGAGCCCAACTTCGAAACGGCGATTTTATTGGTTAGCAAAATGTCGCATGTCATGACGTCGCTTTCGCCAGACTCGGGCGGTATCTTGGTAACGCAAAGATGGCGTCTGCCGGCATTCGGGGGTGGTGTGGGGGGGGGGGGGGGGGTGTCAATTTTATTTGACAGGAGGTTATAGGGAGGGGCTGGAGATTCTGACGGCCGCTAACCCCTGGGCCGCGGCCCGCGGCCCGCGGCCCAGGCCATCGTCCGTTGTTTGGCGGCAGCTTCTGAGCTGCGCAACAGTGCCTCCCACTGGTTTATATCAGTGATTTCTGGGTGTGTGAATGGTAGGTGTGAGCAATAGTCCCAGAAGGAGTTCGGTGATGTAACGGGTTGTGTACAAAATAGACACGTTGATGTGTACTTGTCTGGGTATATCTCAGAGAGTATTACTGGGGATGGTTAGGTGTTAGTCTGTAGCCGTTGACACGCGTTTCCCCGTGTCTTGGTCAGCGATATGTGCGCGGGTGGATAAATGACCCGCGACAGTCAATATTACTATGTGATTTATCGATTAGTTTGTGGGTGATCCCTGGAACCAGACGCCAACTCCTTCTGCCCCTGTATTTCTCCCGTCCGGTAGGCCGATGCTCAGGCGGACGTCCGTACGCGGATGCCCTCCATAACTTCTATGGAGGACTTCCGCGTACGGGCGTCCTCCTGATTAGGCTGCTTCACCGCAAATTGATGCCTACTGCGGGAAAGCGTCAGTCAGATAAACTTGGGCCGAACGGATTCTCCAGAAAAAAAGAAACGGCAAAACTCGGCTGATAAAATACTTAGAAACATTTTTCAAGTCGACGTGTAGTACTTACCATCACGTGGCACAGTGTCGCGTCATATTGCGACGCCAGGGGACCCCGACGTCCCGCGACCCTTGACATGGCGTAGCCTGGCGTCATAAGTTTCAAGTCGTCTGGTGGCGTCCTTGCAACCAAGGCGAGGAAAGGACTTCTTCTGGAAGTTGCGACGCGCACGATATCTACACCGCTATACACGAACTCATGTTTGCAAACAAACCGGAGCGTCCCTAGTGGACGCCACCGGCGCCGCGCATGCGCGATGGAGGGCGGGCAAGAAGCTCGCTGTCGCCCATAAAACCATAGGAATGCGATGTTGTCGGCGTCGGTGTGAGTCCCCGCGTGATCTTTTTTACATTAGCATTGTTGATTCTACATCCTCCTAACAATGTCCGACTACTTGAGCGGCTTCAAAAAAATAATGTGGCTCGGTACAGTGCAAAACTTCGCGTGAATAATGTGACGTGCGGCGATTCATTTCACGTGGACGCCACAGAATGGGCGCTAAAGCCTAACTCCTACGACGAGATTCTGTTCGCTATTTTCAGTCGCGACGTCGCTCCGGCTGCAAAAGCGTGGACTGTAGCTGAGATGGTGGACGTCGATACTGAAAATCGCAAGTAGAATCGGACATTACAACATGGTGATGGCTACTGGTAACAATGATCAACATCTCCTTGTATCTACTGTTTACACAGAGCCTACGCCTACTTAACCAAACCAACCCTCGAACTTAAAAGTGTTTTGAGGCCTGCATTTTTTCTTATCGCTCGTGTTCCTGTAACAGCCCCAACGGGCTAACAGTGTGAATAAATAAATAAAAAAAATTACTGGGTCAACGTTTGGTTTACGGGCCGCTGTCGTTTGAACGAGTAGACGACAAAAAGCAGACGACAGTTCGAACGCATGCGCAATAGAGTGTGGGCAAGAAGCACTGCGTTCCGCGTCAACAGACCATTGGAATGTCACGTTGTCGGCGTCTGTGTGAGTCTGCGTACACTTTTTCGAGTTGGAATTGTGGATTCTACGTCGTCATAGCAATGTCTTACCACTTTAGTCGCCTGAGCGACTAAAGTGGTCGCTCAGGTGACTAATTAGAGACCACAGATTAGGAAGACGGAAACTACCGCCACCGCATCCTCCCCTAACCAGGAGGGAGGCGGTGAGGTTTAGGAGACTGCGCACAGGGTGCCTGTTCGCCCCAGTGTTTGGCAAACACGTGCTTCTCGAAATATATCAGGACGACCAATGTGTGCTCTGTAAAAGTGCTCAAGCGAAACTCGCGCACATTATGTGGGACGGTACTAAGAGGCCGGAGGAGGCCAACCGAAAGGAATGTCTCCCGCAAGAACTACAAGAAGCAATCCGGAGTGAGAACTACGACACCCAACTCCAGGCCGTCCAGCAGGCCACGGCGCTCCTTGAGAGGCAATGCCCCTTGAGGCCGTCGTAAGCGACGTGAGGCCGCGTCCTAGGTCCCTTGGGGCTGAAACTGCGGGCACCAAATGAAGTTATTCTTTCTCTACCTCGGTTGCGACAAAAAGAAAAAAAAAGAAAAGAAAAGGAGGTTTTCAAATGAAGTTGGCATCGCCCGTGTTGCTTCATTCGACGTCCGCAACGCAAGTTTTTGCCGCCGCCGACATGGAAGTTTTAGCCACTGCGGTGAACCTAACCATACCATTGTTATCCATACGCATCTTAAATGAAGGTTGGTGGTGTAGATTATTAAAACTGACATCTTTTTCCTCGCTTAACAGCCTTGGCCTCGTCCGCATGCATTGAGCTGCTTGCGCATCAAGAAAAAGGCAGGCCAACACTACAACGCACATAAAAGAAAATAGGTCATGAACAAATTTGGTACAGCTTCGTGAAAAGATTAGGGTCCAGTTCAATAGTTGTAAAGGGCTTCAGTCCGCGCGAAAAAGTCCGCATGTTTCTTCGCGTTGTCACCGATTGTTTTTGTCAAAAGCTTCCTCTCAAGTAACGAATAAAAAAATGACCGCATCTCCATGTGGTGAATGATATTGATTGGGGCGAACCTCTGGTGGTGCTGATGATACTGATTTTGTTCATAGGTAGTGCTGATGGTGCTGATTTTTTGTTATTGCTCATAGGCAGTGCTGGAGTTCCGGGTTGCGTTGGTATGGAATGTGTGGTATGGAACGTGGCTATATACGCATTTGAGCATTTGACCGCAGCGCCCTGTCGTCTATAAACGTTGAGCCAATGCATGCAAAGTTTAACGCGATTATATACGCATTTGACCGCAGCGCCCTCTCCTGTATAGACGTTGAGTGGCTACATGCAACGTTTCGTCCACGAAATCCCGAGCTCTTGAGTTACTACCATCATAGAATTATTATAATGTACGCTAGAGGTTCAAGTGGCGCTAGTGTGCTGACGCAAATTGAAGCAGACAGCAACCAATCCAAAATTGACTTCCGGTAATGCATTCCTATGGGAAAAAGTAAGTGCATTTTCTTCCTGCGCTCGATCATAAGAGCAAATATCCCAAATAATTCGTACGTACTAGGTAGTTTGGAACATTTCTCAGTCAGGCCGACGAAAGAATTGGTCAGTTACGGCGATTTTCTCTCGAATTCATCGCACTAAAAACGGTGCTAAAACGGCTTCGTACGTGTATTTATGTGCACTGTCGGACACTGTGAGCGCGAACGCGGCGTCGGCGATTTCCAGCATGGGGGATATACATGCCAAACGAACGAAGGACATCTGGAAAATCAAGAGCGGCGGCAAGAACTACGCAGCAACACCGGATCAGTAACTCGCAGTGCATGTACGATCAAAATAAATTGAAGTCCACGTAATCTATTCCGATTTTAAATAAATGAGTACCGCTTTATTCTTTCTGTCCTGAGCGAAGCTGCGTGTTCTACGTTCAAAATATCACCCGCGCGCTGGACATCTGTGAGAACAAGTGCGCGATAAAAGTTGCCCGGCAGAGAAAACAATGTGAAGAGACACCTTTCATATACCAGGGACTTTATTCTCTACGTTGAAGGTTTTTATCCGCTCAAGCACGACGGGATTATTTTCATATAATGACAGAACTGTCATTATATGAAAATTATCAATATACAAGCGTCACCGGAATGCTGGCGAGCCTTGAACACACTCTATATTCGTTTCGATCGTAATTTTGCTTTGAATCGTCGCTTGTTTTTACACACCTGCTGCGGAACACACGTTTAAGACTGAAATGCAGCGAAGTTAAGCATCGCTCACTGATGAAGAAAAATGCGCTAACTAAAGTAATTACACTTTTACAGTGTTAATCAAGGTACATACTATTCGGTACAACCCAAATAACCAAAGTGTTCCGTGTTATTTTCCGGCGAAAAGACAAAATGCACGCGCGCTTTCCCATAGGAATACACAGGAAGACTGGAAAAGTAGACTGGTTGCTGTCTGCTTCAATTTGCGTCACGGAAGTCGCATAGACACTAGCGCCAGTTGAACCTCTAGCGTACATTATAATAACTCTATGACTACCATATCTCAGAGCCCCTACTCGTCCCGCAGTCGTGGCCGAGTGGTTAAGGCGATGGACTAGAAATTCATTGGGGTCTCTCCGCACAGGTTCGAATCCTGTGGACTGCGCAAACATTTTTTTTTCTTTTTTTTTAAGAAGACATGGGATGGTTATTGATGTGAGCACGGACGCCGGACAAGGCTAGACCCTAAGAAACCTTGCCCCTACAAAAAAAAAAAAGAAAAAAAAAGGTGAATCCTGTTTGCGTTCACGTCACGCACGAATCAAAGGTTTATCGCTGCATCCGCAGCGGAACGCAGCAATCGTTGGCATCGCATTTCTCGCACGACGCGCGGTCGCTTGTTTACGTGGGGTCTTTGCCGGTCGGGACTCAGGTTTCGTTTTCTCGCCACTAACAAGGTGGCAAACATAGTTCTCGGCGCGCTACTAGATGGCGCTTGGTCATCTGCGGCGACGCAGATGACCGAGTCGAGTGGCTGGACGCGTTTGGCGCACGTAATGATAGATGGCGCTACCTTCTTACCGAGCGTAAGGGGCCTTAATCGAAAGTGCTCGTGACGACCGTGGTCTACTGAAAGGAACATAAAAGCTTTGTAATGTACCAACACTTGAAGCTAAGAAAAAGAACAAAAGAAAAACGCATTTGCACAACGACGACACTTTTGCTGCCGACGGATTTCGTCTCCCTGTCGTCTGCTTTCAGTCGCTGGACGGCTACGCCTTCCGACGCTGCTCCCGACGCCATCTAAATACGCGAGTCAAACGTGCCACGCCACTCGACATCGTCGTCTGCGTCGCCGCCCGCCGTTGACCATAGCAATTTTTTTCACGATATTTTTTTACAGAAAAGGAGCTACACTTTGTATTTTTGCATGATGAAACGGACCTGTGAAATACGCTTTTGACGAAAAGATTAGATCGCTACATGCAGGTGCCGAGTTTTAATGCCCATTTTAGATTGAGCCCGGGGACGTCAGACACACACACTCTCTCTCTCTCTCTATATATATATATAAACGAATATGTGCAGATGAATGAACAATACTTAATCCAATGAATCAAAGAATCCAAGTTTTCAGGAACCCGCCGAAAGCCAAAAAACGGCGGAGCCAGGATTTGAACTCTGGGCCTCCCAATGTCCGGTCGGGTGTGCTATATATATATATATATATATATATATATATATATATATATAGATCTTACACCGTCGCTTGTAGTTACCGTAGACGCACCGAGCGCAGATGTGTGAAGCATTGCGTTAATCCGCGCCCCGTCGGGCAGGCCAAGGGGACCTGCCTGGCAGAGGACGGTGCACGCTGCGGGAACGGCATCATCGAGCCCGGCGAAGAGTGCGACTGCGGCTCGGAGGCGACCTGCGAGACCCTGGACCCCTGCTGCAGCCCGGCGTCCTCGTCTAGCCTCTCCATCCACGACGCCCTGGGGGACCTGACCGCCTCGAGCGACCACCCGTGCACCATCCGCAGGACCGGTGGCAGCACGTGCAGTCCCAGGTCTTCCGCCTGCTGCAACGAGCAGTGCGGGGCGATGGTGCTCTCCACCGGGTACGTCGAAGGGAAGCTCCGTTGAAATGCCCAGAGTCACTGATTCGCCTCAAAGTTCGTTCAACAAGTTAATAGATAGATTCGAACCAGTAACCCAAATTACAAATCTCAATATAGTTGTTTTTTCTCTTTTTTTTTTATAGTGAAGTCATTAAAGTTCTGAGTTTGTTATGAGAGGTTGTGAAGCTCTGCACCGGCAACGCTGGAAACGTTACGTCAGATGTTGTAAGGCGGGGCAGTATGAATACCGTACAGCTTGTTCCCGATCGGTTCCAAGAAGTTTAATGGCGTGAAATGAACGCTAATTAAACTCGTGCCAAAAGAATAAATAAAAAAAAACCACTAAACCACGTTTATTTAGACTATGTACTGGACTTTGTACACCAACACGCTGGTGCTCAGAAACCAGGTTCGCTTGAGCTAAAGCGTTTGCGCATGCGCAGTGCCGACACCAGCGCCACCGCGCTGGCCTGACGTCAGAGTGTTGAGCCAGTTCACGCACCACTCGTGAGCCCGGGAAAATTTGAACGTTGGTTTTGACATCATCTTTACTTTGCCCTTTTTCTTGATGGCTGTTTTTGAATTTCTAGAGAATAAATAGGATGCCATAGAGAGTAACGCCCGGGCATTCTGAGAATGTGTTTAGTTTTGGGTGGCTCGAAGTCTTTTCTGCTCGCTAACTTAATTGCCAAAGAAACACGCCCGCATTTAATGCTTAATTGCCACGTTTTGGTAGGAAGAAATGTGATCAGACAAATCAACCCGATTTACGTGATGCTATTCCACTTGCGAATTCGCACTTCCGATGTCGCTTACTCGGCAAAAATATAATTGTGGTGAAACCTGCGGTTCTCCACGCTGCAAACGCGAAATCGCAAGCAAAACTGCACCATATAAACGGGCTTAGCCGAGTCCTTTACACTGCTCCCTTCATGAATTGAAAATGTCATTATTTTATTACGTAATTACATGGAAGTGGAAAGCAAATTAATGAAGATTAAAAAAAAGAAACTATTAGAGTACGTTGATCAATTCTTGTGCCGGTGCAGAACTGAGTTAGTTTTTCTAGAAAATGTTTAAGGCGTCTGACACAGATCTTACACAGCGAAAACAACTTCAGCAAACTGTGGGCACAGTCTGGATGTTAGGATGCAGCGAGAACTACGAAAATAGCGCGAGAAAAGCTGCCTCAAATAAAATCAAAATTTCTACGATAACAGCAATTTGTCTCACATCTAACAAGTTGCATGGGTTAAATGGCACAAGAAAGAAAAAAGACATTTAAAATTGCGTGTATTTTTATTCTTGCAAAAACGTTCGTGCAAAAAAAAAATGCAGTTTAAAGTTGTGCGCTCGCATTCATAGTTCTTTGATATGCAGCAGTTTGTAGCAGCGAGGAAGCCGCCTTCCCCCCCCCCCCCCCCCCCCCCCAAAAAAAAAAAAAAAAAAAGAAAGAAAAACTGCATCCATCGCCGGATAAGAAAAGTAGACCCACCCGACGGTCCCATCATAGCACCGCAAAGAAAACCTTGACTCGCTATTCGAATACATTCGGGCAAAGGTAAAATCTAACCCCCACGCTCAACACACAATCCCTTCTTCGCCAGATGATCTAAATCGAGAGGCAATGTCGTAACCAACTACTCCCAAAAAGAAAAATGCACGTGCTTATTCTGTGGAGAGAAAGTACGAAGCTAATAAAAAAAATCGAGTATGACCGGGTCGTCTATAGAGATGGCCAGACAAAAAAATCCTAGGAGCACTTTGGTTAGGTTTGAACTGAAACCAAACGCCGACACTAACATCTCTCCATAAAGATATGCTGATTGCTGAAAGTTGTATCGCCCCGTACGTCCGTGTGTTTAGTTGCTTTCTAGCTGAAGGGGGGGGGGGGGGGATTCTGCATAAAGATGACACCAAGCGGCGAAAGCTAGAACTGCGATTGGCTTCCGTTGGTGGACTTGCGTTACCTCTCTTGTCTCCTCTAGTGTAAGAGAAGATAAAAAGAGGTAGGTCAACTCCCTTTCCGGACGCCAATCGTAGTTCGAGCCTACGCCTGCGTAAAACGATGCTTTGAAGAAAAGCTCCACCGCGCCGGAGTCCACAATTCAAATTTTACTATACCTTTATTTAATCCCATGGCTACGCATTATATCATTCCCCGGCCTATTGTTTGTGCAGTCACAACACCTCCTGCCGGCCTTTCGATGAATGCATGGCATCGGGCATTTGCGACGACAAGGGAGTCTGCCGACCGATTGCTCCACGGAACGACGGATTCCCGTGCAAGGTAATAAACCCTATACGGTGCAAGCGTCTCTGACTGGTGTGTTTGGCGTCCTATGCGCAGCGCAAGTTAGTCTGCTTCTGTTGCTGTGGTTGTGGTGACGTCAGAACACCGGGCTTTGATTGGCTACAATTGAAGGATAGTGGGTAGCCCTCAAAGCTAGCTGCATTCAAGTTTACCCCCTATCCTTCAATCAGAGCCAATCGGAGCTGAGGCATTCTGATTTCGCAACAATCCAGCAGAATGAAGCAGACGAAAATGCGCTCCGCCATTCCGCTCTTACCTCCCTCTGTTCCGAAACAAAATACTACACTTTAGTCGTGTTTATGTATTACTGTGCGTGTTCTATCATCTCTGAATCAACCCTAAACAGAAAAGGCCTAGTAACTTGAGCATTTGATGCTGCTTCATTGCCATTGGCTCGTGGCGTCGCGTGCGTCTGAACCTAAAAAGAAACTAAAGTGGTTCTCTACTTGAGGAAAACCCCTTAAATTGTGTCTATCTTAGCCTCCCATACCTCAGATATTGAGTTTATTTTTCAATTTGGTGCAGGGAGGCAGCGTAAAATCGGTTTCAAAGTATCGATGAAGCCCCTCCTTCCTGGAGCGTAGTGTCATATCAGGGGCGTTCAGAATCTCCGCTCTCGCGCATCTTCAGCGCTTATCAAAGCTAGGCACGTGCATTCTTGGTATTTTGAAAAAGGTCAGAAGATAACGTCAGGGGTGGTGCCAGTGCTGGTGAATACAAGCTCGCAATTGCACGCGCTGCCCACACGCGCGTACGCGCTTGGCGGCCGAAAGATTAGTATGGCGTTACAACTGGTCGGAGGTCTTACGTGCTTTCTCGCGTTTATGAAAAAAAAAAATAAAAAATTAACGTGATATTTAGATTCACAAGATAAAAATACGGCAAAATTCAACTCTACCTCGTTTCTTTTTTTCGAGATCCTCTTTAGCTTTCTTTAAAGCTGAAACTAAGTAGGGGTGTGTGTAAATACTTCAACGAATTGAATTTTTTTGCAGGGGTTGTGGTTTCGTCAGAACGCCGAACTCTGACTGGTTCTCATTGAAGGTTAGTGAGTAGAGCCATAGCCTCCTATATACTGACAAAGTCAGGTAGATCGCCACGAGAAGCGGCCGCGGAAATGGAAAAGGTAGGGCGGCAGACAACGGATGAGAGGAGAGCCACGTGACTGGCGCCCCGCTGCGGCGAGACGCCGAAACGCAGTGTCTCGCCGCTGCCGCGAGATGCTGCGGCAAGACGCAAGGACCCGAAAGTGTGTTCCGGGTCCTGGCAGCGTGCGCTGACGTCCAGGTTCCCTGAGAAATGTCTCTGATGCTTGCTCTGTGCTTTCAAATGTGATTTCATATCTGCGACCGGGCACTCTATGGCTCCGTCGTCGAACTGCCAGGCTTTGTGAGTGTAGAGGAGGCTATGGTAGAGCTCAAAGCAATTAAGGTACCTTGAGGTCTACCCACTCTCCTTCAATAAAATGACATCGCCAAGCGTTGGGCGCATGCATGAAGCCGCCATAACTTTTGTTTGTAGGAGGCAGGCGGCAGTGCACGAGACTGTTCGTGACGTTTCGTGCTCTACGTGCGCAGAGCTCCAGCAAGGTCGTTACACGTGTAAATAGACTAAAGTTCCCGGCATAAGTCGCGACAGCGGGGGCACAGCCAAAATGGCTGGTGAGATAGGTCTATTAGAATTAAGCAGAGGTCGGCGTTCTGACGTCACCACAACCCCAACAAAAAAAGCAGACGAAGTTGCGCTCCTCATAGTGCAGATTTATTCTTAGCTTCAACACTGTGAAGAGAGCCGGTCTTTCGTGGTTTTCCTATAGCACTCGGAAGGCTGTGAATGACGCAGCGATATTAGATTCGAACTCTATCCGCACACCCCTACAAAACACAACACGGGATGCTTACTTTCTGGTCGTTTATTAGCTTGCCAGCTATTTGACGGGAAAATTAATATCCCGTTACCTGGCGTCACGCGCAATTCCCCGCTTAATTAAGTGAAAAAAAAAAAAATCAACCGCATGACGATGTCGCGCGAAGTTTATCCGATAAATTTAGCGGGAAAATTGAATTCACGTGACCTGACATCACGCGACATCACGTGACCTGATATCACGTGACCTGACGTCACAGAATCAAGTTGTGTGAAGTGACACGATGACGCTACCTGACATCAGATCACGCAATGTAAATTTTTGCCGCTAATTTCGTGTGCCATCAAGTTTCGTGATGTCAATTTTCCCGCTACATTTAGCTGGAAAACTTTGCGTAACATCAGGTCAGGTGACCTGACATCAATGCTGAGTCATTTTGTCACGGGATACGAAAACATCTGGGATTTCCGCACTAAGCTTAGCGGGGAACTCCACGAGATGACGTTGACAGAGTGACGTCAGGTCACGTGACCCGACGTCACCGCGTCAAACCATTCGCGCGATACCATTGCATCTCATGACCTCATGTCAGGCCTCGTGACGTCAGTCTTCCCACTAAATATGGCGGGGAAATGTACGGACGCAAACGACACTGGGGTTAGGGGGTTCCGTTGAAAAGCATGGCCTGCTTTAAATTCCCACGAATTCCCAAAAGTGTATTGGCGATTTCAGCGAAATCAACGGCACCTAACGGCAAGAGTAAAGCGCTGTCACGGCAGGTTTGCTCGCCAGCTTTCTCGAGTGAACCAAATTTTCACAGCGCCTAGCGGTCTAAACACGAAGCCACGAAAGTACGCGGAACGCAAGTTCGTCTGCTCTTCTCACAGGGGTTGCGACGATGTCAGAACAACGCCGAGCTCTTATTGGCTGATTGAAAAAAATAGTTGGCAGACCTCGAGGCATCTAGAATTAAGGTACACACACTATCCTTTCAATCGAAGCCAATCGGAGCTCAGCGTTGTTTTGACGTCACCGCAACTCCTGCGCAAAAAGCAGACTACTTGCTGTCCGCAAAGATTCGAAAACAAGTGATCAAAATTGCCAATACGCGCTCGTCCTGGTCCCCCGCCCCAGGGCACCAAGAAGACGTGCCGGCGGGGCAAGTGCCAGTCGACCCCGTGTCAGGACCGGGGCATGCTGGACTGCGTGTGCGTGGACGAGGGCCGCTACGGCAACAACGAGTGCCACATCTGCTGCCGGAACGGGACCCACGCGGCATGCATGCCGGCCATCGAGCACGGCCTTAAGTCGCTCGACGGCAGGCTCTTCGTACAGCGCTCCGATTATTTCTGCCACGGACGCCGGGGACAGTGCGACGGGTACGCCAGTCCTGCCATTCTCAGAAACGCATTCGAAAAAAAAAAAAAGAAAAAACCTTTGGAGTAAGGCAACAGGGCCAATGCCAGCGTCTTGATTGCTGCGTTTTCATGGAGGTTACAACCCCAAGTTTACGGAAGAAGAGAGAAGACGGAAAAGCTTAGGTAAACACGCATCAGTGATTCACGCGCTAGCTTTTAGCCGGCTCCCAGATTTGCCTTTAGCCAGCTCCAGAAAAACTGGGCGCCGGATAAAGGCTAGCGCGAGAATCCCTGACGTGTGTTTACGTAAGCCTCCCCCCCCCCCCCCCCTTTTCCCGCTCCCCTTCCTCTCTTTATTTTCCTGCAAACTGGGCGATGTGACGTCCATAGAAACGCACAAATTAGAGTGTTGGTATAGTGTCAGTTGTCTTAACTCCACAAGTTTTCCCGAGTACGCTTCCCGAAGCCGTGTCCACACAGCGCCTGAATCCGGCATCACGCTCAATGCCTGGTTTGCTATGATGTTGCCTCCGCGTCCATTCTGGTGACCTTGTAGCTGAGCGCGTACCTGCTGAAAAAAAGTCTTTGAGCTCACTTTCCTGCAGAACATGGAGGAAGCCAGTCACGGCGAGCAATACAAGGATTTCAGGCTCAGAATGCGATTAGATAGTTTCGTTAAAAAGATTGTGCGCTGCCGGGACAGTGTGCAAGCCTGAAACTAATATAATATTCTAGAAAGAAGGGCCCCATGCATTCGGGCCGCTTGGGAACTGCGGGGCATGGACGCGGACATTGATGGACCCCAGTTGGTGGTCATGTTGGTACCATACCGGTGGAGATGCCTCAAAGAACCTATGCAAAGGAAACATTTTTTTAACAGCCTGGTTGGCAGTTGCAGTTGCCGTCCGTGGGAGCCGCCACTAGTCACGTGGTAGACGGAACATATGAGCGGATTAAGTGGGCGCCGCGCGGCACTCGCCTCTCGCCGCTAGGCGCGCGACAAGCGCACCGCGCGGCTTTATCTGCATCGCCCAGATCCGAGCGGCGCGGCGCCGCGCGGAAGTGACGTAAGGACGCCAGCACTGGTGCCACCGTTATTAGGTTGGCTCAGTCACGGAACTGCTCATAGATGCTGTTTACACGGGTAATATATCGTTCTCACTTACCACGACTCGCCCGACTCGCCTATGGTCGATCGACGCACCGGAGGGCTGCTATGGTAACTAGACTGTTCTATAGAATACGTACGCTTCGAAGCATAGCGTCTAAAGGGCGTTCCACCGTACTCTATGCAGCACAGATTTTAGGGTGCAGCTCTTTAGCGCCCGTTTCCGGCTTGAGAGGCGTAGCCATCGCCGTCGGCGTAACCCAAGCGTTGCATTATGCGACGTTTCCCATAATGAAGTCATACGTGACGTCACGTGTGACGTCACGAAGGTCACAAGTGACGTCACGAATGTTATTTGTGAAGGTCATGACGAAGATCATGACCTTCACAGTGGCCTTGACGAAGCTTTCACGAGTGATGTCACGAGGGTCCTAGAGTCATGAGTGACGTCACGAAGGTCATTAGGGAAGGTAACGACGAAGGTCACGACGAAGGTCCCGACTTTCACAGTGACCTTCACGAAGCCTTCACGAGTGACCTTCACGAGGGTCACGAGTGACGTCACGAGGGAGGAGGAGGAGGGGCATACCCTCCTCTCCGTACCCTCCCCTCCTCCTCAAGAGCTGCGCTCTAATTCGGCATTACAGGGAATTGTAAACGGCTTTCATTTTTTAAATGAAAGTCTAGGTGGAGCTTCAAACGACGGAAGGCGGACTGAAATGAGTGAGAGGGGGCACCCCCTTCCGCGTGAGTTCCACAACTGAGGTAACCTAGTAACGTTGACCGGTACACATGAACAACGGTACACATGATCAGTACCGATAGAAACCGGTGCAGGCGACCTACGTCACTGTGACGTACGCGCCTCGCGGCGCGGCGCCGCTCGGATCTGATCGGTCCAAATGTTTGCGCGCGGTGCGTCCGGTGTACCTAGGTGCGAGCGACGTAAAAGCAAATATGGCGACCGTTCGTATGGTCTGTTCGGTTTGGGTTTCGTGCTGCGTGCGGCTCGAATGCTCTCGTGAGAATGTTCCAGTCTTCTCTAAAGTTATGCGAAGTCCCATTAATGACACGGAAATGTGTTATGGAATCATAATCTCAACTCAAATATCACCATCCCAAGTAACACGAGATGACGTGCGACGAAGATGTACTCTGTCCTGTAACGGTTTCGCTTTCCCCTCCCTCTGGACGAATGTACCTATACCCCTATATTTTTGACGTGTACGACCCTTCATTGTTCCCTGCCGTTTTTCGTGTCTAGCATTTATGAAGGACGTCCGCCCGAAACGTTGTATAGTCCTGTCCGTCCATGTCCTTTATTAGTGTAGTACAATCGTATATCTTTTGCAATTTCGTGTTCAAGCCCATTGCGCTCGGCAGAGCCCCCATTTTCTTGGATACTTCCAACTAGCAACAGGCGGGTCTTCACCAACAACGGCGGTGCCGAGAAGCGGCGATAAAACGCTGAGCGAGATTTGTTTGGTGGTTTGAGTTCAGGGTGGGAAATCTGCCGAAGCGGATGAAGGAGTTAACACGAGGGGTGTAGAAATAAGGCCGAGATGGTGCACTGCGCCGTCTCGGCAAACGGTGCGCTTATCGCTGCAAATCGAACACGCCTAACTTTTTGTCTGCTTTCTTTATGTCGCTCTTCTGCCGCTCTCTTTCTCGTTCTTTGTCTGTGGACCGTTGATGCCAGCGTCCAGGATTCGCCGCACTCTGCTCCAGTCTTTTCTCCTTAGCTGAAAGAGCCGCTTGTAGCAGACGATAAGAGTGACGGAGAATCATCTTTTCTTAGTCGAATCTTATTCTGCATGTGCTTCGTATTTGTTAGGATCATTATTCGCCGCTATTTGTTGTCTCATGTTCTGCAGGAAAGATATACTTTTTTTTTCAGTGTGTATAGGAACAATGAGGAATGATCACAAGCACAATGCGATTACGTCATGCTCAAGCAATGTATACAGCACTCACGAAATGCATCGAATGCAGAAGGCGATGATGCGCGCGCAGCTGTCGAAGGGAGATATTATGCCAAAGGGCGTCGTTCTGTAAACATTTCGAGCTGCACGACACAAGTTTTTATGACCGCGTGCACTATCACAATGGCGATTCCACCAGAACGAGAGCGAAAATCAATTCTGCGTCGAACTCGGCAAATTTAAAACAGAGACCTTTGAAATGATTAATTAGGTTTTATTAGGTTCACAGAGGACAGCCAACATCGTACAACGGATGGTTAAATATTTAATACCTAAAGTAAAGGTAAATAACACCCAAAAGAAACGAACGTTCTGCCCTTTCGTGTACGTTCGAGAACGATGATTTTTTTCTTATTATTTTCGTTTTCGTTGATATCCGCGTGAACACCTTCTTTTCTTCTAACTATATATGGGTGCTTGGTAATAATATTCTTCTTACACCTTTTGGTTTCAACAGGTTTACACCGAATAGCAGTGAATTGTGCGAAGTATTTTGAGTGGCACTGGCGCTCCAGAAATAGCAGAACAACGCTGGAGGACGAAGAGAGGTGGGGCGACCTTCTCCGACCTCTCTGTCTTCCAGTGATGCTCTGCCATTATTGAAACGCGAGCGACCCTTAAAACACTTGGCACAGTTCAGTGCTTTTTCACATGAACCTGGTGAGTCATTTCAAAGGACTCGGTTTTAGAGATGCCGAGTTTAACGCAGAATTGATGTTCGCACTCGCTTTGGTTTGCTGTCTATGACGAAATCGCCATGGTACTCGTGCACGTGGTCCCAAAAACGTGTGTATCGCTGCTTCAAATGTTCACAGACCAACGGCCTTTTTGCATAATGAGACAAGAAGGTGAAGGACTGCCTGCGACTGCTGCGCCCGCATCACCGTGCTGCCCTCTCTATTTGCGCTACAAATTCAAATCTCGAAACTTCTTATCAGTACCTCTTAACGCCAAAGGGGTTTAGGTTTGAGTCTCTGAACTATTTGACAATTCGACAGATAACGGCGGTTTTGTGGATCGCTGTCGTTCGAAAAGACCACTTGGAGCATCGTTGCTTTTATTAGTTTTGTTTTTGACACTCTTATTCTTTTCTAAAGGGAGACTGTTTTGTCCCAACCAGGTTCGGCATCTGCATCGTGTCGCCCACGATTTCGCACAGCAGCACGACGAGCGGAGGGGCCGCCAACCTTGTGGGGACGGCACCTGCCTTTGCAAGCTTCCTAACGTCCCTCCTGATTTTGCTGCTCGGCACGCTGGCGCGGCGGATCGGCCCCCTGAGCTGATTCGTGGCAGCTCTATGGAAATTTAAGGAACTGTCCGTTCCTCCTGTTAGTCATGACAACAACAATGCATTCCATCCAGTTTCACTAATGACTGGTAACTTATTCATTGTCGCGCTGATGCAACGAAGCGCTCTCGCCGCCGGCACACACATCCACTTAAGAAAGTTGTGCTCGTAATAAAAATATAATCGTGCGAGGAGCTGGCGGTCCTGGTTTCTTTATAGATCCTTTAAATGTGTAGTATTTATAGGGCTAGCTCTTGGCACACACTTGTCCCAACCTGGGATGTAACCTTGATAGGTTGTGAAGTCCTCTTCTATCCCACCATGGCTTAAGAGTATCGGCTGACGTTGGTGCCGGCCCTATAGTTTCTATTTTTGTGCTGTTTTTTTGTTTTTTTTTACCGTGCTTTTCTACGTATGCCTGCAGGTCCAATACAATGGTCTTCAGTTCAGGTATTTTGTATGTCTACTGTTCGGGCCATGAACTACAGGTTGCAAAATCAGGCAACGGCGTGTGTTGTTTGGTCTCCAAGTGACAGACGCTGTTCTTGGGAGATTGTACCCGGAAAGTAGATTTTCACTAAAGTTGATGCTCGGCCGAGTTGGCACATACTTCAGAAGATGAAAACAGCGCAAAAGACGACAGACCGGATGAAGGAAGAGTCAAAATGTGCTGACTCGCAACTACTTTTATGTTTAACACGACGGTGCAGTATACACACAGTCAAGATCAAAAAAGGAGATGAATCAGCTTACTAGCATCGGTGGCCTTTTTTGGCTTGGCTTTAGCGCATGTCCTCTTGTATAGCTTGTAGTGGCGGCATTTTGTTTTTTGTTCTGTGTTTTCAGGCTGATTATCTTCCTTTTTGGTTCTCGACTGTGCATATAATGCACCGTTGGGTTCAATAAAATTCAGTTGCGAGTCAATGCTCTGTTTGTGTCTTCCTTCATCCGGTCCGTCGTCTTTTGCGTTGTTTTCATCTTCTGTAGGCTGTCAGTTGCATTTTTGCTTTGTCCTTGAGAGAGAGTCCTTTGCGGGTTTCCCCATCTCCCGTTTCCCCCTTTTACTTGTGGACGCCATAGGCGAGAGAAATAGAAAAACCCACCTTGGATCCGCGAAAGAAGGTGAGGGTAAGAAGGGAGAGCTTTCCTCCCCTTCTCTCTATCTGCTCGGGCTAGATACACGCCGATATTTCTCTCCCCTCGTTGATCTGTCTCCTTGAAAAGCCGTGTGCTCGTGACAAGTTAGCGAAGGGAAGTTTCAGTCAAGGAGGCTTCACTGACGGTCTTTGGAAGTATCCAGCTAAAGGGGCTTTGTCGAGACCGTGTTATCTTGTGTTCGCCAACCGCAAACTAAGGAGCAGAACAGTTGTCGTTCTTCCGCATCCCCGCGGGTGACTCGAAGCTAAACTGGTGCTTAGCGCTTTGGCCTTTAAGCAACTTCATTATCCGGTGTTCAGCATTTCGATGTTTGACATTTTGTGAATGCGAAGTTTGAACTTTACAAATCATCTCTGTCAAAAAAAACAAAAAAACAAAAAAAAAACAATTTTTAGGACGAACTTTAATATTCTGAGTTGATAAACATCCGCCGGTGACGAAAATACAACAGTGGTTACAACCGAAAAACTCCGGTCGTTGGAAATATTCGGCCTGGGTTAAATCAAAGCACTCCAATCAGTGAATGTTCCCGTCCTGGCGACGGCTAATTTCTTTAAAACGCCTCCTCTGTAGACGTTTGTGAAACATGTTATCTCGTCGATCCTGAATTCTTTCGGTGGCAGTTCAGAAGCCGGTGTGGTTCTTGGAAGACACCGCCAACAACATTAGTGTCGGCCGGAACCATTAACCTTGGAAACGCTCCTTTTCGCTTGGGGAACTGGAATGCGTTGATTATCTCTTCCTTTTGCCCACTACAGACCATTTCAAAACTCGCCTTCTGGGTATGCGTTCACAGCTCAATGATTTAGACATTTTTTGTCCGGATAGATGCTTTCACGAGACGAAGAGCGTATGAAATATGTGAATAGAATTGAAAATATTAAATTTTCTTGTCCAATCACAATTTTCTTTCTTGGTTATCAACGATGTTTTAGCGTTGTCACGAGACGTTAAACCAAAATATATCAATGTTTAAAAAATAAGCACCAAAAAACATGCACCGATTTTTTTCTAAAATAAACACCGGAAAAAGCATACTCTATAATCCTTACCCACGTCACGTTTTGGGGAAATATATGAATTTCCAGAAGAACCAGCGAGTTATCATCCTTCCCTAGAAATACCCTGACTACTCCGTTGCTCCAATTGCGAATTTTCTACGTGCGAAAACACGTAGACGTATCCACCAAAGAACTAACCAGGAAAGCGAGACTCGCACACTTACGCCCCGGTTCACCGAATGAAACAGGAATGAAACGGGCGCGGAAGAACACCTTGCACAGTGCCCAGCGCCGAACCGGTCGAACTAGAATAAGACGATTTCGTGGACAGCGAGCGCCACCTCATGGGAGAGAGAGATAACTTAAAAAAATAAAGAAAACAAGCACCGACGCCTTGTTTCTTTTAATTCGCTGTAGTTACGACACAGATCGACTTACATAAAAAATTTTGATATTATTCGATTTCATAATAAATTTAGAAGACATTCAACGAAATACTTCATCTGTTTGCATTGAGAGACTTTTGTAAATTCGCTCCGAACGCGCGAGTGCCGAGATAGCGAATTTGAACCATTTCCATGATTTTTTTAAAGAATACAATGAAATTTATAATAATACATTTGTTCCGTTTAATTTCCTGATAATGCCTCAATGACTTAAAAGCCATTATTCCCATGAAGATCCGCGCAGCCATTATTACGTGACAATTTTACGAAGATGGCGAAAAACCTCATGAATTCTCTGTGGGGCTCTGAGGTGCGCCACCTTTTAAAGGAGACAATTTATTGCTTCTTGAAGGTCGAACAATACACTTTTCTGTTCGGGTACCAAAATTAACAAATTGAGTTATTTAAGGCCACGGTCCCACTGAATGTGGCAGTTTAGGTACTTTTTGGCAGGTCATTACTCATCTCCTTTTAAATACTGTTTTGTGGGATTGATGCTATTTGAAAAGCAATGCAATCCTCTTTCATCTGATATTATGTATCTGTTGGTTTTTACTGTTCATGCGCATTTGTAGCGTTGCGAATATGATGGCGCGGACCCTCACTTGCTCCGCCAGTTCATGTTTTATGAATGATCCATTAAAGATAACACGGTTCCAATATACGAGTTTTGTTAAGATGATGTCGGAGCAGAATGTAACGATACACTTTTTTGGTATTTGCACTACTTTGTTTTTTTCATCCCTCCAAATATTGCCCTAAAATTGACATTTTTCAGCCCAAATATGTTTTTAATAACACGCGCTAGGGCAATAAAATTAGCTACAGATGTAGTCCTTATAATTGGTAATATGCAAAAAAAACTTTAATGTTGTGTAAAATTTTTTTGTTTAGATATTTTATATCAAACGTAGCGCTTTTTTGTGCTTCGAGTCATGGTACTTCAAATGCCGCTGAGGAAATAATTAAACTATGATAAAATCTTTTATAACATTTAGAACTACAATGGTTGCCCAAGAGGTGGACGATGGCTTTTTTTCATTTTCAAAGTCATAACGTTCCAGGAGCGTTTCAAGCTTTCCTGTTTTGACGCATATCTTTTTTGGACATTAAACAGATTTATTGGCCTCTAATAATATTTATTGTTTGGAATAGATATACATTGCGATGTATTAGATTTTCACAATGATCTTGCTTTGGTTTCTTAAAAGGTGTAGAGCTTAGCTAATTTTAAAAACAATTAAAAACTGTTTGGGTGTTTTGTTGCGCTACCTGGCGGATGGCAGACAAACTGCTGAATTCTAATGTTCAAAAAATTTCCGGAGGCGGCGTTGGCGTCTGTATCATCATCAATCTCCGTGTCTTTTTACCCTCACATTTAAAAAATATATTGGAAGATTTACTACCAATAACTGAATGGTTTAAGTACTGGGTCAGGCTAATAAATCTAAGACAAATAATTACACAAGCGTAGCGTGATATAATGTGTTCATTATTCGATATGATTGAAATCAATAAACAATGAAGACGAAGAGGAAAAGAATACACCCGAGTTCACTTTATGCCTAGAGTCACCAAATTAGCTTTAAAGCATCGGCACTCCGTTCGCCAAAATTGTTTTGGGCGCCGCCATTTTGGGTCTTGCTCAGAGCAAACGCAACTGCCGATCATCATGATCCAAAAGTACGACTTCCTCAGCATTAGATGCGGTGCTAGGAAGCTGATGCAATATTGCAATGTTCTGTCGCGGGTTGTTTAAACATCTGTGAGGGACGGAAAAGCGTTTCCTGTGATTTTAGATAAAGCTTCAGGTAACTGGCAACCATGATTTTAAGCCTCAATATGGCCAAGTGTCGCTACTCTGAACCGTAGCTAATTTACTGGCACAAGCGGGAACAATGAAGAGGCAGGTGTCAAAAGGTAGTGGCTTGTGGAATCCACGGGGCTTACTTCATGGCCCCTCCAGGTATTACAAGCCTCTTGAACAAGAGCATGACTAGTGTCATTAAATAAGCTACGCTTCAGAGTAGCAACACTTTGCCTTATTGTGGCTTAAAATCATGGTTGCCAGTTATTTGAAGCTTTATCTGAAATCACAAGAAACGCTTTTCCGTCTTTCACTTTAAACAGTTTGCGACAAAGCAAAGCAACATTACATGAGCTTCCTAACACCGAATCGAATGCTGAGGATGTCGCACTTTTGAATTATGACGATCGGCAGTTGCGCCTGCTCTGCACAAGCACCAAAATGGCGGCGTTCACAACACTGTCGGGGAAGAGAGTGCCGATACTCTAAGCGGAACTCATTTATTGGCTCTAGTTCCCGCGAAAATCCTTTTCCCTGACTGAAACTAAAAGTAAATATGAATAATACACCATTATTATTGCTT